ATTATTTCTTTTATAGTATTCCATGTTTTTTTAATGTCATCAGTTGCATTTTTTATTTGTTTCGAGTAGTAATTTTACTTCGAACTTTTTTTTTATTTTTTCAAATAAATTTTTGTATTTTTTGTAAGTATTAAGATTGTTTTCATTTCTATTTTTTCAGTACTTGATTTAAAGTTTGTTTTTTTTGAAGATTTTTTTATACCTCTAGTAATACATGGACATTGTAAGTATTTTACTTTTAATTCTTGTTCTATAATTGGAAAATGATTATCAAAGTGCTTTAAGAATATTGCTATACATTCATTATAAGCGGAGATGGCATGCACAAGGTTGCATTCTTGGTAAATCCTGTCCCACCTAACTTCCGATAGTGAGTCTTTAAACTGCTAAATAGTAAAAAAAAAATTTTTTGTGTAAAGACTTTGATTTTAGAGTTATTATTTTTTGTATTTTGAAAAAAGGAAAAGTATATTGGAAAGTGATCGGATATCTGTTTTTATTACACCTGCTTTTAATGAAGAATCATAAAATGAATTAGTCAATATGTTGTCTATTGCAGTGATTGAATTTAATGTTACCCGGGTTGGTTTATTATAGGAAAGATATAGTGTTGAAACATATCGTCAAAAAAAGTTTTGGTAACAGCATCTTTATTGTACTGTAGACAGTTTATATTTATATCTCTAATACAGAATAATACTTTGTGGTCTTTGTTATTTTTTAGAAATATTTGTTTTAGGTGATTTAAAAAGTTTTTTATATCAGCTTCAGGTGGTCTGTAACAGGTGGGTACTGTGGATATTTTTTAACTTTTTGTTTATTATTTTAATTCTTAAGACCTCAAAATCGGAAACCGGAAACCGGAAGATCGTCTCTAATTTTAGTTGTTAGATCATTATGAAGTCATAATTCCACCTCCTCGTTTTTAAACTTTTCGCTCATAAGATAATAGTTTGTAGTTTGAAGTTAATAAGTTTCAATTTATTCTGGATGATTCGTCAGAACATCAAATTTCTGTTAAGCAAATAACTGAACAAATAATTACATTCTATAAGGAAATGTTTTAGTTTGTAAATATTGTTAATTACATTCTAAAAGAAAATATTTTTGTCAATATTGTTAATTACATTCTAACTAAAATTGTTAAGAAAAAAAAATTTCTTTTGTGTAGAAAAAACAAGTCTTTCAATGTATTGTTTGAAAAAGGTAAGAGTCATTTAGATAACACACATCGAGTTAGTTCACTTTCTAGTTCATAAATATGTAATTTAATTTATAGTTAAAAAAATTCAGAGTATTTGTTTAAATTCAGTATCAGATTTTTATAACTTTGTTTTTAAATAATTTTGATTATCTGGATTGCAAATTTATTTATTTTTAGTTACTAGTTTGTTGTATAAATAAGGATACCAATATGAAATTAATAATTAGCCAAGGTTTTGTTTTTTTGAAAGGTGTAATAAAGTTTCCTGTTTCTCTTGTGTTATATTTATTAACGTTATTTATAAAAAAGTGGTTAAAAAAATTATTTGACCTAATTTAAATTTTAGCGTAAACAAAATATTTTAGTAAATGCCCAGCCAACATTGCCAGACGGGTACCGTACGGTTTTTGTCTGGGCTTACGGGAACGGGATTTCGACGGGTAAGTGTTTTGGTTTCCAGACGGGTCCCATATGGTAAAAAAATTTAGCATATTTGCTCATTTGGGTTTTATCTGGTTTTTATCAGGGCCGAAGAATCTGGGGATTTGACGGGTTTCCCAAGTCTTAACAAAACTTACTCGATGGTTGTCATTTATAATTCGTATTGTGCGTGAAATAAGATTAAAAATTTAACTTTTATGCATTATATTTTTTCTATACATTATATTTACATTATAATTAAAAAGAAAATTTTTTTTGATGTGTTTTGTCACTGTGAAACTCCATTAAAAAGACGTTGTTTAAAATTTTCATTTATTTATTACCATAATAAAAGAATTTTTTTGTATTTTTTTTTATAAATAAATTTACAAAGTTTAACATATTTGTTGAACATATGTTCCAGAAACTATTAAACATATAGTAAATATTCCATTGAGACACTGTTTTCATTTTTAAAATGATCAAAATATAAAGTTTTGTTTCTGCTAGTGACTGTAATAAATGGTTTGAGTTTGATCAAAATATTGGTTTAGTCAGAAACATTTAAAAAGAGCATACAGGCAAATGGAATGTAATTGATAAGTTTTATTTAGGGAATTAAAAGATTTTAAATCGTTTTTACAGTTCCACTCTTTTCCATTGATTTTTATATCTATATTTTATGCAAGCAAAATGACTGATTTTAACAAAGTTTACCCACCGTCAGATATAATAGTCAGATATAAATAAAGATATAATTAGATGTTTAAATGCAAAAAAATGGCTTTATTGTTATGCATTAACCTCATTTTTTAATCATTGATATTTTTTGACTTTGATTTAAAATTGTACACTTGCAATATTAACAATAATTTCATAATATACATAATAATAACTTACACTTACAATACCTATACTTGTAAATACTTGTAATATAATACTTATATTTATAATACTGATAAAAAATTTTATTGATATGAACTTTTGCATTCAAACGTTAGCTATAAAACTTTAATTTAACTTGATAACTTTAACATGAATAACAATAACTAAAAAGATAATAGTTATTATATAGATTATAACCATATGCTTATTTATTATAATCGAGTTATTGTAAGTTAAACAAGATAAAATGTTAAGTTCCAGGTAATAAGTCTTTTTGATATGTATCTTATGTATATCTTGTATTTTGCAGCATGTTAAAGAATATTTCTGCATGGTGCACTCTGACCTGTTGACAATATTTGCATACTGATATGAGTAAAAGTGACTTCAACAACCAGAATGTATTTTTGATAAATATTAGTAATAACAGGTTAGTAAATATAATTATAATAATAATGGTAATAACTTTTTATTATTAGAATTAGTAAGAGACTTATGTATTATAGAACTACATTAACTTCTGGGGACAAATATAATGATTTGAGTAAATATTACCGTTGTTAATTACCTCAATTAGAGTAATGTAAGAAAATATTTTTTTTATCTAAAGAATATTTGGCAAAAGTCAGTATTTCCTAAGTATTAAATATTATAAAAAAACATGTGTTTAAAAAAAATGTATCATAAATAAAAAAATAACTATTAGAGTATGAAAAAAAACACATTTATTATTATAATTTATATATACAGCTTCAGCTATAAACTCATTAGCTTCAGATTAATGCTGAATCTGATCAAGTCAGTATAATTACCTTGATAGCTGATAGGAAAAGAGAATAATATGCCATAAATATTTTATGCAAAATATATTTTTATATAGGAATTTATTCAATGAAAATCTAAAATAGTGATAAAATTTAAACATACATTTTAAAAATTTTAAATAAAATTTGCCAAAAGTTGTTGCTTTTTGTTAATGTTGCCATCAGTGCCTAGGCCTAGGATTCACAATATTAGGGGGCCCAAATTGGGTTTTCAGAGATTTGTTTAAAAAGTGGTGCCCAAAAATCTAATTCTATTTTTAATTTTCTTAAGGGGACCAACTATATTTTGTTCAAAAAGAGTACACTTATCAAGTATTTCATAGGTAAAAAAAAAAAAAGAAGAAAAAACAATAAAAAACTTTATCTTCTTTAAAAAAAATATTTTTCTTCAGTGGATTTTTTATGCTAAATGAGGATGTTCCTCTAATAATGTTGCCACATCCGAACATATTAAATTGCTTATTAAATTTGACTGTTAAGACGGCATATAATGTTTTTACAGAAAGTTGCAACTTCTCACTGCTTCAATAATCATTCCTTTGTGAAAATACTCTTTCAACAGCAGCATTAGTGTCCGGACAACAAAGAAATTTCTATTAAAACTTTTAAGTTTTCATTTGGGATATGTTCTACTCTAAAATGCCGAAATATATGCGGTAGTGGTGTAGTGGTAGAGCGCTCGCTTCATAAACGAGTGGTTCCGAGTTCGATCCCCACCACGTCCCTGGTAGTACCGCGCTCAACTCGTTTCTCCGCGCAGCGGCCTTGCTCGTCAAGGTTTGCGTTTCGGAGTTATAGAGTTGAGAGAGGGTTATAACCACAAATAAGTAGCCTCCTCGTCTGTAGTGGCCTTCTCGGCCTTGAGGAGGTGAATTAAAATTAAAAAAAAAAAAAAATATCTACCCATCTTTTTTCAAGTTCTATTTTCTCATTGTTCCATTTCTTCAATTTTTCTTCATTTAAATATGAATTTATTCTTCGAATTTCTTCAAAGAGAAAATTGTCATTAATAACAATATCTTATACTTCCTTTATTAGAAATTCGACTGGTGAAGGAACTTTTTTCCATTAAATTTTACTATTTATAAGGGTCCATTAGAAACAATTCAATGCTCTAAAGTTCATTATCCATTCTTCGATATATTTATAGCAAATTTTAACTTCTTTTAAAAATTCATTTTTTATTCCGGGATTGGAATTTTCCAAAGGGGTCAGTTTATAGGTTTTAATATAGCCTTTAATATTGTATATAGTAGTGTATGTATATATTTTTTTATTTAAATTTACCTTTAATTTGTTTTTTTATATTTTTCTGCAAAAATTGTTTTCTGTCACTCTATCTGAACTTATGTGATAAAGTTTTTTTTTCTCTTACATATTTTCTCACTTATCTTATCTCATCCGTTCATTCTCTTTTTTTTTTTTCTTAGCGTTACTCCTTTATATTTTTGTGCTAATTCCAACTTTTTAAATATTATTGTTCCTTATACTTCTTTTTTTATTACTTGTATTAATGTAGTTTACTTTCTTTATTATTTTTTTATTTTATTTGCTTATTATTATTATTTTTTTATTTTATTTGTTTATTTTATTAAGGTGTTGCTCCATTGAATAGTTTTTAATATGAGTGACATCGAACATAAATTTGTAAATTATAATTAAGTTTG